ACGTGTGCTCTTCCGATCTCCCCAAAACCCCAAAACCCCATCCGTGAAAAATCAAACTTTTTCTGGTAAACTTGAATAAATACACAAAGGATGAAATTTAAGCTCTTGGCAAGTCAAAGATTATCAGGCAAAATTAATTTTATTATTGAGGAAATCAGAGTTCAACTTTCTAAATATAATTATTAAATCATAAATTTAAGCTTAAAATACTTTAAAGACAAAATTGGAGATATCATGATGTCTAACGACGCTTTTTCATCAGCAAATACTTAGTATCTTAGTAAGGATGCTTAAATAGAAAAAAATTTGCTGGAATCTAGACAACTATGCATAAAAGCTTGTTTCTTTATATCGACAGCGATGGGATTGCTCATTATATGCTCTTTCACCGTAGAGGATTTACAGAATTAGAGTTTCCATTTTAAGTTTACAATTCCATTTGCAATGTTGATGGTAAATTTACTATTCGTGCAGTTGCTACAATACACTGATAGCTTTTTGAAGTGTTTTCCAACATGTCTATGCATAGTTGGAGCTATTTTACTCACAGAAAAAAATATAGTCAAAGACCCTAATGTTTACTCTTTCTCTGAACCGTAAGTTTTGTTCTATATGTCTCAATAATTTCAAGATTGCTTCCTTATTTTCAAAAAAAATAATGGAACAACTGTAAACCAGATTAAATTGAATATTATTAAATCCAAATCATATTTTAGACACATAGCATTTCTCTCATGTATCGGATATTTTAACACAATAGTGTATATTGATTGGAAAGTGCAACTCATCAATTAATCTTTCTTCTGGTTTTATTATTTGGCTAGATCTTATTGGTAATATGGTATAATTTTATATTCACTAAACATTTAGGCTATTGGTCAAGCGATTTTGCTTTTGGCATCCTAATATCTTTTGCATTCAATTTTTTAAGTTCGAAAACTTAGGAAAAGCAGTAGTTTCAAGTAATAAGCTTGTACTAATCACATAGCACTTTTGTATGGATACTTATTCATTCATTAACATAAAATTTTTAGGTTTAAGAAAAATGGGAAAAGACATTATAGGTTATACCTGAAGGGGTATTAATAATGGACAAGCCTACAAATAAAATAAATTATTACAATTCGGAATTAAAAGCAATAATAGGATCTGATTATTTTGAACAGTCAGAAGATTAAGAATAGTTAATATCGAGTCTGTTGAAGCAATATAAGATTCAGGATACTTCAGAATCACTATAAGAGGGCTAAACAATAGACGGTCTTAATGATGATGGCTAGGTTTTGAGATAGGGAAAAAATCTAACTTTTTTTAATCAACAAAAGATGTCTCTATGGGATTATCTAACTTAATTTATTGTAAGTACAGGTATGCCGGATCATATGAGAGATTAAAATAACTATATATTCAAAAAGAGAGGCGCATTTAAATTCTTGCTCATAAAAATACAAACAATTAATAAAGATGGAAACTAGCTTATTATGATTGCTAATGATATAACAAGGATAAAAGAGCTTGAGTAGTAAAATCAAAAAATAAGGTCATTGTACTTTTCTAGTATAGCTCATGAACTTAGAACACCATTAAATTCAATCATACCGATGAGTGAAAATTTAAGGCCTTATATTTAGGGGGAGGCCGGATAGAACATTCTAAAAGTAATCATTAACTCGACTATTCACCTCTCACTAATAATTGAAGATGCACTTGATATGAGTAGGATTGAAAATAACAAATTTGAGATCAATTATTCACTTTTCAATTTGAAGAACACTATAGATGAAGTAATTGACATCATGAAATTTCAGGCAGATTTAAAGGGATTAAAGATAATAAGTAATATTGATGCCTCTTTACCTTAGACTGTATATACTGATGAAAAAAGATACAAGTAGGTACTCTTTAATCTGATTGGCAACGCTATGAAATTTACACTTAAAGGCTCAATTATAGTCAAAGTCACTTTAATTTAAGCTGATTTTATCTAAACTAAAGTCATAGATACCGGAATTGGAATATCAACCCCTGATTTAAAAAAACTCTTTTGCTAATTCGGAAAATTATCTTCTCCTAATAAGATAAATCAATGTGGTATGGGACTTGGATTATCTATTTCAAAGTAGATAATTGAGCAATTAGGTGGATAAATTTCTGTAAAGTCTTAAGTTTGCAAGGGCACATCCTTTAAGTTCACAATAAAATTAGAGCCTTAATAAAGTGAACTCACTAGAATGAATGCAGGAATATATGAGCTATATGACTCAAACGGAGGAGTACAATTTCATTTAATCAACAGATCAAGTTAAATATGCCAACTAGAGTAGGATGTTTAAGATGAGACAGGATAATGGGATATACCAGAGACAATTGATGATGATGATAACAAAACTTAAAATTTACTCTAAGTTGAACCAGCTGAGAACTTTTAAAAGATAAATAAGATCATTAATACTCTAAATCTTGAATCGTCCTAATAAGGAGAACCGAATCATTAAAATAATTTACCATCCTTATAATCAAACTTTAGCTTAGTTGATAATGCATTACCAGATGATACATCCCTTTCTAATAGATTCAATATGAACAACTACAATTCCAGTCAAGGAAAATTGCTTATTAGTGTAAACGATAAATACTAATCTCCCTTATTGCTACCTATTTAAGTGAATAGATTTCAAAGAGCAGTCCCAAGCCCCTAATTTATTCAGAGGAAAAATTTATTAAGATTTGAAAAGATAGATCGAAGGCCATCAGCTGGAAAGAATATGAAAAATGGAAATAGCCTGAACTAGAAGATGAGAATTCTGATAGTTGATGATTAGGTATACAATATTTTAGTGTTGGAATTGCTTTTGAAAAACTTATTATCAGATTAAGCATTTGAGATTGATAAAGTTCTAAACGGGCAAGAGGCTATAGAAAAGATTTTAGAACAAAATAATAGCAATAATAAATCTAAAGCTAATCATTATAATGCCATCTTTCTTGATATCTAGATGCCGATCATGGATGGAATTTCTACGATTAAAGAGATTAGAAAACTATAGGTCTTAGGAAATATTAGCATGGACAATACTCTAGTCTATGCTTTGACGGCCTCTACTAAGCAAGAATTTACCATGATGTATGGTGAGTAGTAATTTGATGGTTATGGTAAGTATTCAAGAAAATTAAACAGATCTAATCCTATTTTATAGTGGAAAAGCCAATTAAGTTGGAATATCTTAAGAAAATATTAAAAAAATGAATTAGAATATCAATGATTTGAAGAAAATATCTCAGATTCCAAATATTTATATCTGTCATTTAATTTTACTATTTATCTAGAATTCTGAGTAAATATGTTGATTTCTTCTCATGGGGTTTTGGGGTTTTGGGGTTTGGGGG